GAGAGCATAGAGGGAGAAGGAGAAGCAGAATCCCCACCAAGCAGAGAGCCCGACATGGGGCTTGATCCCAAGACCTTAAGATCACGACCTGAGCCAAAGGCAGCCGCTTAACCAACTGAGACACCCAGGCGTCCCCCCAATCCTTATATTCTTTTATTACCTTCTTTTCAGACCAACTCCCTTACAAACATAGTGGCCATGTTTGTGTTATGTGACCTCTCCGCATGGCCTCAGGTAATTGGCCCATGGTGAATGCTTGACTCAAACATCACTCTGATTGAGGCATCAAGATTGTCTCTTTCAAGATTGTGAAACTGGCAGAGAAACACTAGGAGTCTCTGTTGAGCACTTGAAATGAGACCCCAGCACCACTTTTTGCTAGGACTGTTAGTTTGCTAGGACTGTTATAGTAGCCTTTTCCCTGGTCTCTGCCCCTCTCTTACCCCTACAGCCCTTCCTCTGCATAGCAGCCAGAGAAGTCCACACAGCAAATCAGATTGTGTTATTCCCCTAATTAAGACCCTCTGATGGCTTCCCCTTGGTCTTAGAATAAAATCCAAAGTCCTTGCCATGGTCCACAAGGCCTTTCACAGTCAACCCTGTTAACTTCTCTCCCACCTCTCTCTCCATGTGTTCCAGCCACGCTGGCCTGGTTCCGCTCTCATGTATAACTAGATTCCCCCTGGCACAGGGCCTTTGCACGTGTGATCTCAAGTCAGGTGGGGACGTCCAAGTTTTGCCTAGGTTGTGCCAAAGTCATGAAAGTGTCTGCAAATATAGAGAATCATTGATTTAGTTTGTTTATCTCTGGCTGTATCACAGATGACCCCAAAACTTCACAGCATCAAACAATCTTATTGTTATGCTCACAGACTCTGTGAATCAGGAATGGAGATAGGGCTCCTCTCTGCAACATGTTGTCACGAACCTCAGCTGGATGCCTGGCTGACTTAAACGACATGTGGAATCATATCTGATGCCTCCGCTGAACGACTTGAAGTTGACCTCAGCTAAGACTGCTGATTGGAGCACCTACCCGTGGCCCCGGAGTGGGGTTGGGCTTCCTCATAGCCTGGGGGCTGCCTCCATGATGCTGATGACTGAGGGGATGCTCCACCTGAACTCCACAAAACTGCGGCTGCATGAGGCCTCAGCCAACACTGCATGGAGCAGAGAGCCACCCAGCTGACCTACAGGATTGTGGGAAATAATAAATTGCTGTCATTTCAAGCCACTATGTTTTGTTAACACAACCTTTGCTGGTGGAGATCTTGTCTGTTAGGTGCACCACCACAGACATTTACAAAGAACAAATGGACTCTCTTCAAGTTCACTGAGCTGTGCTGGTCTCTTGAGTTCTTACCAGTAATCATCCTAAGCCCTAGGAAGCCAGGGTTGCATAATTGGGGTGGGAGGTCTTAGATGCAACCAGCTACTGGCCAATAGGGCGGCGCTCTTGTAAAAACTGGGGAAAAGGTCTCCCGTCTGGGCTGACTAATTAGAAAACAGTGAGCCCTCTGGGTGGACACAGTCCCAGGAACACATAGCTTGGAGAGTAGGTTGTTGACTCTCCTAGAGTTCCACCTGCCTCCTTGGCCAAATGCCTTTGTGTAGTGAACAACCCACACAATTCAGGGCTTCTCTGTTTTGTGTCACACCTTCTTCCTTGTTAAGAGCACCCATTTTCTTTCTGCAAGCCTCCACGTCTTTCAGAGGAGGCTGATCAACTCCCCAGCTGGAGGGGGCAAAGATTTATTGATCTGAAGCTAAGCCAATCCCAGGGTCTTATTCACCTTGCCCTATAATGGGTCATGCGGGCATGTGACACACTTCCGGTCAATGAGATATGCGGGGGTAGGAGGGGTGGTAGCAGTGGCTGGAGGGCTTTGAAATCTTTCTCTCACTCTTCAAAAGGGACCCAAGAACGAAGCTCTTTTTTGCTTTCTCATGAAGAGGTTGTCTGCATGTGACCCCCGGGCTATGTGGCAGCCCTTCTGGGACCATGAGGGAGCCAGTCTGAGAGGAGTTGATGGCAGTTAAACAAGATGGATGGAACCGGGGTCACCGATGACGTTGCTGGGCTGCTGACTTAACTAACCCCAGAGATGCACCAACCTCTGGTCCTGTTGTATGAGACACATAAATAGGTTGTTTAAATAAGTCAGTGACTTCCGATGCAAGACGGAAGTGTCCTGGTACATGTAACAATATGCTCCTCATGCCTTGGGAACTTGTCTTGGAGGCATGAAGGAGGAGGTGCCAAGGGCCGCCTAACATCAGTGCTTGAGTAGTGGGGAGAGGTCTGCGTTGATCCCAATCCATTCCGGCAGGAAGGCTGCCTCTGGCTCAAAGACTTTGAGGAAGGGGGAGTCGGGCAGGGTGTAATTGGCCAGGTAGATGGTCTCTCCCCCCGCGAGGTAGGCGGCCCAGATCCCGAACGTCCCAACGGTCATGACAGTGTGGTTACACTGCGTGAGCAGCGCAAAGTCCTTGGAGGGGGAGTTCTCTATGCCATTGAACACCACGTCCCCCCGGGAGGCGTTGATGTTCTCCCGACACCAGGCCATGCCGTTGCTGGAGATCACAAAGATGGGGGAGTCGTAGCGGGCCCGGAACCAGTCCAGGGCCTGCTCTAGGTAGCCCCGGCCGGCGACCACGCCCTTCCACACCTGCGGCATGACATGCACGTAGTCCCCCCGGCGCACGTGGACCCCTACGAAGGTGCTCGGCTGTCTCCCATTCACCTGCAGGCCCCGCAGAAACTTCTGGGCGTCCTCCCGCACGTGGTCGTGCAAGGTGAACTCCCGCAGGATCTCGTCTCGCAGGTGGTGGTAGAAGGTCCAGGAGCAGGGGTAGCCGGTGAGGCGCACGTACTCCCCCGGGATGTGGCCGTAGCGCTCCTCCATCCAGTCGTTCAGGTGGTAGTTCCGCCACGGGATCCTGCTGGCCGTGGCGCCGTGCAGGACCGGGAGGCTGATTCGGAAGATGGGGGCCAGCGTGCTGTGCATCTCGGCCGGGATGAAGGCCGGCCGCCCGTTCATCTTGGCCAGGGCGCACAGGGTGGCGTACTCCATCTGGTTCCCCAGGCGGCCGATGGCATTGATCGTCCACATGCCCCTGGGCGGCTGGCTCGTGGGGGTGTTCCGTCCTCGCCAAAACCAGCGTCTCGAAGTCCCATGTGGGGCGAATCTTCGATAGCCGCTGCTGAAGGTGAAATATGGTGGAAGCCGTGAAGACAAAGAGGATGAAGTGGGCCATGGGGAAGAAGAAGGGCGCCTGACTGCTGAGCATGGCTGTCAGGGAAGGCAGAGCAGGGCACGTTAGCTCGGGGGCGGGGATGGAGGCCCCGGGGTGGTGCGTGAATGTGCAAACATCATGTGGGTGTATGTGCAGGTGGCTTTGCTGTGTCTGTGTCTCAAGGGGTGTGAATACTCAGGTCCATGTATGGAGGTATGTCTCCAGAGTGTGTGATGGGAGTGTGTTTACACTGAGTTCATTTATTCCTATTTACATGTGTAGATACGAGTACACGGTGTGTATTGACACACGACATGTGCATTGTATGAGTGTGTGTGTGTGTGTGTGCGTGCATACGGGTATCTATACATTGTATACATATATGGGTGTTTGTGAATTTGTGTACAAATAATGGACATGTGTACATTGTATCATATCAATGTATATATATCGTGTACATATATGGTGTGTACTCTAGATACAGTGTGGATATATATACACACATACACATTATGTATATATACATTATATGTTTAAATAAGGGTGTTTATAGCCTGAATATACATACATGGGTGTCTATAGATAGGGGGTACAAGTGTATAAACCTACCATTTACTGGGGATCCAGTTCCTAGAGATGTCCACCTCTGCATGCCCTACCTATCTATATTCTCTCTGAAGGGAAATTGCCAAACCCATCCCAAATTCAACCATTTGGCCTGCCTATCCTCCCGGCCACAGCCAACTGAATGCAAGATAAACACCAGGTTCCACGGTGGCTTTGCCATTTATTGGTCATGACAGGTTGTAGGCTGGCTCTGAAAGATGAGTTGGCCAATTCTCTTGTGAATATTTTTACTAAAAGGTCAGAAGGCAATTGATAACCTTCCCTGTGCAGGTGAGAGTTTGTTTTCTTCTCCCCTGGGTGTTGGGCACCCAGTTGAATTCAACAATTCAATCCAATTTTGACATTGTCTACCTGACTTAGTATCAGATCCAACAAGTTAGAGTTCAGTCCCACTTCATATACCAACTGCAAGTCCTGAGCCATTCATACTTCTTCTGACTGACAGGTTATAAATTGACCCCCTCCTTAGGTTTGATAAATTGCTAGAATGGCTCGCAATACTCAGGAAGGCACTTTACTTACATTTGCCAGTTTATTATAAAGGAGACAAATGAATAACCAGAAGAAGTACATAGGGTAAGATCCAGAAGGAGCTTCTGTCCCATGGACCACCTTCCTGGCTCATGGGTGTGTTTGCCAACTCAGAGGCTCTCTGAAACCCATTTAGGGCTTTTATGGAGGTTTCATTATGTAGACATGATTGATTAAATCATTGGTCACTGGTAATTAACTTAATCTTCAGTACTTCTCCCCTCCCTAGAGGTTGGGGGCTGGAGATGAAAGTTCCAATCTCTTCATTAAGCTTGGTTTTTCTGGTGACCAGATGCTGAAGCTATCTAGGGGCATATGAAGAGTCACCTCATCAGAGCAAAAGACACTCCTATCACCCTATCACTCAGGAAATGCCAAGGATTTTAGGAGCCATGTGCCGGAGCTAGGGACAAAGACCAAATATCACTGTAGGAGACTACAGCAGGTGATGCTGAGAGAGGAGGTGTTGGAGTGGCTGGGACATGTCAGATGCAGGCTGAAGCAGAGGCAGCCAGTAACGGAGAGACATCTGAAGACCTGTGCAGAGAGGTAAAGAGAACTGGCCAGGAAAACCCAGAGAAAATCCCCTTGTATTTGAACAAGTATACAACCTGTTCTTTTCAACTCTAGTTACAACAGGAATTAGTTCTAGGAGTGGGGTGGTTGCACTGGACAGACCTTCTGAGAACACATGGGATTTACTGTGGTATCATAGGAGGTAGGGGCATTCCCCATCCCAGGCCATACAACTTGGGCCAGTGATTTACAGAGCAAAGCAATTAATTAAGCTCCCTCCTGGGACCCCTTGGAACAAAGTAAAGGCCCCAGAAGGATAGGGTTTGAAGATATGGTTGTTGAGCTCAAGCCAAACAGTTGACAGTGAAAGAAAGCAGGGAATGAATTGGTGCTGACTCCCAATTATGTGTCTAGAAGCCAG